CCCTGGGATTCCACTGAAGTCACAATACCTTACATCAGGTAGTACTTCAGACATTTTAGAGTGTTTTCAGACGTCATCCCACTGTGTCTTTCTGACTGAGATGTACTAGCATCTCAGCTAACAGAGGAGGAAACCAAAGCCCAGAAAATTAAGTGATTTGCTCAAGTTCAGCTTACCAGCTGGATCCTGATGATCTCAAGTCATGCTGAGGCCCTGGGCTCTGGCTTCCTACTCAGAGCACCCAAGTGGGCTCCCTCCTACTGTGGGATAGGAGAGAAGTCACAGGAAGGCCAGAGTCTGGGCCACCTGCATTTGGACTCCTCAGTAGAGCTTACTCTGTCCAGTTAAAGTACATCCAGGGATCAACTAGGGCAGCCATTTAAAGATTTCTTCTCCTCATCAGCTCTGCCTGAGGGATATCAGTGGCTGGACCAGCAGAGAAGGCTACTTACATTTAACTAGGGAGAAAATGTTCTGTGAAAATGGAGGAAAGGTATGGAGTCAGATGACAGGGTTCAAGTGCTTAGGGCACTACTAAATGAGTGTGACCTTGGACAAGTCATTTGAGCTTCCTGCTTCAAATTCCTCATTGTAAAATGGGGATAAAATGCCAATCTTACAAGACTGTTGAGAATAAAATGATAAGACATTTATGTCTGTGCTATGTAAACTGTAACATACTAACCAAATGGGAGGTGTTGTTATTGATAATAATGATTTCTGGGTGTGGTAGCTCATGCTTGTAATCCCAGCACTTTGGGCAGCTGAGGTAGGAGGACTGCTTGAGTCCAGGAGTTCAAGACCAGCCTGGGCAACATAGCAAGATCTCATCTCTACACAGTATCAAAAAATTAGCTGGGTATAGTGGCATGCACCTGTAGTCCCAGCTACTCAGAGGGCTGAGGTGGAGACCTGAGGCCAGGAGGTCGAGGCTGAGGTGAGCCATGATTGTGCAACTGCATTCTAACCTAGGCAACAGAGTAAGACTCTGATTCAAAAACAAACACACAAACAAACAAAAACAAAAACGATGACAGAAAGATTTCCAATCTTGAACAGAGACACTTTTCACTCTACACAAAGGAGAATAAAAGCCCTTTGTAACCTAAGGCACGTACACATCAAACAGGTGTTAGGAAGGCTGAAGCTGGTGAGGGGATCTGTCATGGGAGGAGTATGGTCGACTTGGGTGGAAGGCATGGCACGCCACCTCCCAGATGTATTCCTATAAAAGTGTTTGGAATGACCAAGTAGCTTCGGCTGTTCTCTGGCCCTGAACTGGCCACTATCCCATTGGCCCTCCACAGGCAGATGTCCTACTAGGGAAACTGGAACCAGATGTACTCAAGATTTCAAAAGAAATTAATGGCAATACGACTCTGGGGTAAAAATATCTGTGTGCACAGAGCTTGCTCACTCAGCTCCCTTCCTATCTAAGGATCATTTAGGCTTAATTATAGAGTTCAGGCGTTCATTGGGTTTTTGATTAATTTTCTTTTCAGTTTGAAGAGTGTGTGAGTGTAGTGGGTCTGTGTGTGTGTGTGTGTGTGTGTGTGTGTGTGTGTGTGTGTATTTACATCTTTCTTTGCAACTCAGTCGGGAGCTGGCTTGGGCAATGTTTAATTGTGCCCTCAGTTCTAACAAGAAGAACAATCCATGTGCCAACCGGGGCTTGGAAAGCCATTGTTTCCACTGCCTCTGCCCCACGGGCTGCTCCTGCTGTGCTGAGGGCCTGCAGTGGCAGGGCCTCGCTCAGCTGGGACCTCAGCTGCGGGACGCATGCTTTCCTCCCTGCTTTTGTACTTGTGGCGCTTAAGGGATTCGGAGACCAGGGGAGCATTTTTCCCACTCCACTAATTACCAGGACTCTGCTAAAAGCCATGAGTGACAGCTAGCTCACCCACACTGCAGCCCCTGTCAGGCATTCTTCTGGGCCGACCTCCCTGAGGATTTCTCTGCATAAGAAAATGGGGTCTGTTCTCTTATTTTTAATACGTCCACTTAATAGATGGATAGAGATTACATGACGGCGTAGGTGAAAGTGACTTGCTTTCTGCTTCCTTTCCTTTCCTTTTGTACTCTTGAGGCAGGGACAGCTGAGAAGGCAACATAGGATAGTGGAAGGGCATGGAATCGGGGCCTTCTGTGTGAATCCTGGCTCCTGACATTTTCTGTCTGTGTGCTTATGGATATGTCACTTAACCTCTTTGGTCTCAATGTGCTATCTGTAAAAGGGAATAGTAACACTAACAACAGTATTACACTCCTCAGAAGACTGAGGATGGGACAATACATGTGGAAGCCTTTTGTAAAAATACGCTATCAATCATCATTCTTCTACTGCTCAGAACTGCTGCTTGGAACACGATTTTGACCTATGAGACATCATTCCAGCAAGGCAGAGAGGGAGGTGTTAAAAGGCCTGCTGAACGGGAGGCAGGCAGAGGATTAGCCTCCAGCCTTCCTGCATGCTGTGGGCCACAGCAATGACCCAAGAATGAAAAATGCATGCAGCAAAGAGCCCAGGTGAAGGGCAAAACCTCAAAGCAGCTCTCGCAGAAAAAAGGAAATCTGGAACATTCTTTTTTTTTTATTAACACAATAGTAACAAGAATGTTCCCTTGTTCTTTAAAGGATGGGTCCACTTGTCTCTAGTTTTTAGACCAATTGGTTTGTAAATGAATGGTTCAGGGAATGATGACATTGTTTTGTTGGAAACAAGAAGAGGGTGTGAGTCCTAAGTAAGTGTGACCTTGCTGTGAGATGAGGCTCAGGGTATCAGGAGACCTGAGGCTTTCTCTTGGCTCTTCTGCTGGTTAGGGATGTGACCCTGAATAGGTGACCTAATTTAACTGGGCCTCAATTTCCTTTGAGATCATGGACTAGAAGATCTGAGAGGTGACTGGATTTAAAAATCTTAGACCTGATAAAATGCTTTTTTCTACACAGGAATTCAAAACTCTTGTGCTGCCAAGAAACACACACACACACACACACACACACACACACACACACACACACACACACATCTCTCTCTCTCTCTCTCTCTCTCTCTCTCTCTCTGTGTGCGTGTGTGTCTGTGTGTGTAGAACTCAAATATAATCCTAAGACTACTCCAAATAAAACTTAATCAAGGCACTAAATAAGCCCCTTTAAACAGATGGCATCTGGCATCTGACCCAGGCACTTTGAGGGGGAGGAAGGCTGGATGGGAAAATGGAGATAACCCCAATGGAGATTTCAAGGTGAATTCTCTCTTATAAGAGAGCTTTTCATTTGGCAATATCCTGACTAAGCTGAACAGTAATGATCCACAAATCACAAGAAGAAAAGGGGTCATTTCCTTGTAAAACAACAATAGCTTTACAACAATTGGCTACAGGGCAACAGAGCTTTCTGCCAGGCTGATCTCAGAATTGACAGACCCTACTGTAGAGTTCACAAAACTCTATCCTTGATGATCATCATGTACATTTGCATAGTGCTTTGAATTTTTATAAGCCCCTTCCCATTTATTTTGCTCATTTTGTCATTACATGATCTTCCAGAAAACTTCCTTGGGGTAATTTCTTTTAAAATGCTGAAAAGAGTGATTTTTCGGGGGAACAAATCTAGCTAAGTATGTTACACTTTGCTTTATAAAGACAGATATGCCCTTAGAAAAAGTTGTCATGTGTAAATATAATTGTATAAGTCATACCCTATTTTAATGGGCTAGGGGAATTTGAAAACAGAAATCTCATATAGAATTTTGTAATGTAAATTCTTTCTCATTAATATGTTGTTCACTACAACTTTGGATTTTTTAAGTATCAGGTTTTCTTAAAGTGGGGGCACATGGATGGATTCCAGGATCAGTATTCACTCCCCAGAATCCCCTAAAAGTGGCATCTAATTCAATATGAGGGAGAGATTCTGTTTGTAACATCAGTGTGGGAAATAAGCAGTTTCATTCTTCAGCCCTGGAGCTCTTTGGGGCTACCGCTCCCATAAGAAACAAGGAAGCATGGAAAGGGACAGAGAATTCCAAATGCAACAGCTGAATTATTTCTAAACAGAGTGTCTCCAGGCCTTCGGTGAGTAACTGATGTGTTATTAATTTGCTGTTAAAAACATAACTTGCCATCAATAACTAATCTATAAGACAGTAGCTGATGTTTGGGGTATGAGGTTAACACTATCTAACTTGGAGTGGATTTGTGAGCACTTTTATGTAAATAAGTACCATTCCCTGAGTCTAGAACCTGAAATAAATTAGACTAAATCGCATTTTTTAATATAAGTAATAAACAAGTCATCCTGCTTTTTATTCTCTATCCCCAAACAGTGGTAAGAGTCAGGCCTTTGGAGTCAATCATAAGATTGCAATAATTGCTCTGAGCCTTACTCTCTCACCTCCGGACTTAAGCTAGCAGTGTCTACTCATTGAATCTACAATGATATTGTGAGAATTTTATAATTAATTTGCATGGGGGGGCGTTGAACAAGGAACCATATATATATTAAGTTGATACACACACACACACACACACACATATCTATATCATGTTTAGCATTAGATAAAGATAAAGGAAAAAACTCCTTTGTGGGGGAGTGACTCACACTAGAAGAGTTGCAAAAATCCTCATCGTAAAGACTGGAAACTCTTTAACAAGTTTTATATTAGCTTGACTAAAGAAAACCTGGCCTCTCACCTTTATTGGTTGAATCTCAGTTCAGATTTTTATTAAAGAGCTCTGAATTGAAGCTATGTGAAGCACTTTCTCACAAATGCTCAGGCAGCTAAAGATGTAAACACAGTTCACACACACACACACACACACACACACACAATATGCATGGTATACCAATATGCACAAAGACTACAGGTATATTTGCAGGCACTGCTAGTAATTATGCTATATGTATCCTGGAGTGTGTGCATGCATGCACATGTGTGTGTACATGCATACACATGTGCATTATCTGTGTTCAAATCATTCAGAAACTAAAAGGAAAAGGAATAAAAATACTTCTCTTCTTTGTCGAAATGTTCTTGAGGCCCTACATGGATTCATGGATTATAACTTAAAAAAAAATAAATTTCATGCTGGTGACGGGAAGAGAATAAGCAGCTGTAAACAAAAACACAGTTTGGATTTCACTAAAACATGATGAAGGCCCCAAGTATCACAGCTACTACAGAATATGGGAATTACGTATCCAAATGCTGTGATTAAAAATACTGGGAATAAGCGATCTTTTTTGGAAAGAGGTGGGAAGATGGAACTAAAGAAGAGTTCCCACCTGTTAGTTCATGTAAGCACCTCGGACAGTTCCAAGATTTCCCCAACCCTAACCCCACGGTACAAATACCATTTCTCCAGTTTCCTAAGTGTTCCATTCATTCCAGCTAATGTGTTGATGATCTGACATCAACTAATAAATGCACAGGTATTGAATGATAGTAACATCTGACTCTTCCCTCTTCCCATTACCCCATCCTTTCACCACCCATTTCCCAGCACCCTCCAGTCAGACAGCAGGACTGTCTGTCTTACGAACACCTGATGTGGATGTTTTCACTCCCACTTCTAACTGGTTGGGAAGCAGCATTTGCCACAGGCACGGTTTAATTTTGTTTCCATCCCCTGCGTCTCACAGGAAAGAAATGGTCAATAGTTCAGATAAAAGAATCCTCCTGCTCAGCTCCAAAATATGGCTACTTGCATGGTAATCACAGCAAGTCTGTCAAACCAGTGATTTCTTTATTCCAGGAGGAAGGGACTTTTCCTAAGGATTATGGGTCTACCACCCAAGGAGCAGCCCTACTCTTCACAAGTGGCTGCAAAGGCTGGCAGACCGAGAGGTCTGCTTTGGCTCAGAAACTCAGTTTGGCTCCTGCCACCCCTGGCACCTTCACTGCGTGTCTCGGCGGTGTGTCAGGCCAGTCTCCTTCTACTTAGGAGGGATCACCACCAGAGGTGGCCCCCGCTTGGGCCTCCACATGAGGACCTGGGCATCGTTGGCATTGGGTTTCACTAGTGCGTTGGGGGGGATGGGCTCCATCCGGCTCAGAATACGGGGCTGCTCCTGCTGAGTCCTGCCCACCAGCCGCGCCCGTTGTCCCAATAGCTGAAGAGGGTCCACCTCAATGTCCACCCTCATCCTCCACTTGATGGTCTGCAGAATGATCTTCTCCTTTGTGGTGGTGTTCATGGCCACCAGCCAGGTGGTGAAACTTTGGTCCCTCTTGATTCTCGTGAGCAGCGGCACGTTGCTGTCACTCACAGGCACCGCCCACGTCACACTGGGGTAGAAGTTGTCATTCATGCTGACGGAGAACCTGGAGATCTTGTTGGTGGGGCCAACCAGGGTCACAGTTTCTGTGGTGTTCCCGTACCAAGGGTAGCTCACCCCATCTGAGTCACTGATGGCTTTTACTCTCCCTTCCCTCAAGTCGGGCAGTTCCCAGCTTGACCTGGCAAGGCAGAAGAGATGCACAAGAAAAGGAGAGGCTGAATGAATTTTTCAAAAGCTGGAGAAGTGCCCACCACTTACTCACATAGTCGACTCAGGCAAAATGGGAAGTTCAGAGGGATTCAGGTCAAAAAGTTCTAGGCTGTGCTGTTTCAGGATTAAATAAGAACACACAAAAACAAAAATAACAAAGCAATGCCAAAACAAGTTAAATAAAACCATGACTGACCCAACTGAGAGCAGGAAGCTCAAAGAGACAGTTGTGAGACTACTGAGGGATATCAACTCGTGGGGATGATGGTAGTCAGCAGTTTAGGGACATTCCACGGCAAGAACGACTTTCTTGGAAGTGTATGAGTTTTGCTTGTTGGGAAGAGATGGTGGCTGGAATCTGATGTACTTGGAAAGAGTACATCAAAGAGTACATGTGGAAAGGAGGGCAAAAGGAGGGCAAAAGGAGGTGAAGTTTAAGGTTATACTATCTTCTCAGAAAATCACAGTCATAGAACTTCTACTTAACAAAAAGTGTTTAAATTCTAGCTATGAGCAAATCCATACTTAGAAAACAGACATGGAAAACGGGAATGCAAGGAAACAATGGGCACTTTCTGGAAGGCACTTAAATGTGAAAGTTGTACTTTAGGCTGGTCTGTGCAGTGTCGAATGTGTGGCTCTCCCATTGCCTTCCCGTTCAGCCTGGAAACCTCACGGTTTAGTTTTGCAAACTTGCCATTCTGACACCTACCTACTCCTCACGGCTGCTTCTGACTTTGTACAGAAGGAGAAACTCATGTCTCTCTTCCCTGACATGGTTGTTGTTAATACTATTATTAACAACAATAATAACACCTGGTACTTACTCTACTCTAATCACTGTGCTAAGTACTCTATGCTATCTCAGTTAATGTTCAAAACGTTCCACAAGATAAATGAATTTCTATTTCCATTTTACAGATGAGGGGATGGAGGCTTCAAGGTGTTAGGGTACATGTCAAGGGTCTTACAGATGGCAAGGGCTGGAGCTGGGAGTTAGGTGCCTGACTCCCAAGTGCATGCTTCTGAGCACAACATCATCCTGCCTCCTGAAGTACCCTTACGTGGTGCTGGAGGAAGCCCATGTGGAGGGGACTCAGGCAGTCCAATTTTCAAGCAGTGCCCAGAGCAGCCATGATGAGCTGGACTGGACCCTAAGAAGGGAAGGAGTTTAGTCAGCAGGGCCTGGCTATGCATTCTCTCCATCTCTAAATCTGGGACCAGGGATGATGCTTGAGAATAATGCATTAGAATTTAATAATCAGAAAGAAATGAGATTGCTTTGTTCATCAGCTGAGAGGCAGTGGCCTTGTTTGATATGAAGTTCTTCCTCCTATGAAGGGACAAGATCCTACAGTGGTCTAAAAGGGAGTTGCATTGTCAAGCTGATGTGGGTAGTATCTCAGCATCCCTTAGGGTCAGATGGGGACATGGAGACACTAACCACTGCCTCCTGCTGGCCCTCTATCACACCTCCTGTGGCAGTCAGCCCCAGCATGAAGTAAGGGAGAGCCTGGCTGCCTGGGGAGAGGTGAGCCCACAGCTGCAAGAGCCTTTTCTCTTGTCTCCATGCCCTTGATAACTGCTGGGAATAATTGCAGTGTATCATGGTTGGCAGACACTAAGTAGTAGGAATTGACCTGATGTACAAAGTCAGGGAGAGTTCATTTTGCTATATATGCTATTGCAGCTGTGGTAGGAGCTCCCTGGTAATTCTATAGCCATTTCTTACTGTACAAAAGGGAGTATGTTATGTTTGAGTGGAATACAAGGTTGGGTAGAGAACCATTCTGTTCACTGGGTTCACAAAATGGCCATACTAGAGTCAGTTCTATGCCCCCATCAAAGGGCTAAGAAAATTATTCAGTCACCACACATTTATATTCTGGGTTGCCTAAATCCTGTTTTTCATTTTGTTTGTGACCAGTCTCTACTGGCCTTTGGGCTCCTCTGTGGGACCAGAGGATGGGCGTTCCCAGCAATGGCAGACTGTCCTTCCACTCCTATCCTAGGCAGTGTGCTAACTGTGGAGTACTGCCTGGAGACTTTGGTTTTGAGTGGATGTACTTTTTATTCTGTTGTGACACTGTCCTTCTCAGTACTGGCTATCTGGCTGATTAATTCAGTATCTTTTTGTCTATAGAGACACCACGTTCATATTTTTGTCCCAGGTTTCCTGCCCAGAGCTATCTGAGCAGAGACTTAAGCCTAGGGTCTACAGGTCAGTCTTGTAAGACAAATCATAAAACTTAGTTTGCTCCCAGGTCTGAACAACAGAAATAATACAATAAAGGAACACCCTTGTGTCTGTCTCAGGAAAGAAAGAATAGATCCTCTTCTTGAAGGATTCTCTGGAATAGAGAAATGCAACAGGCTTCTTAAACATCACATCAGAACAAAGACATCTGGCCGCGTTTAGCCACTGAACATAGTGACCTTGGAGGCTACATAATGAGTTGCATTCACACTGCTGTCACTTCTGTGACTGTGTTTTTGGAAATCCCCTGGGCCCAAGGCATACTCTCTTTCACAGCCCCAGGGACCCTAGGACAACATCATTAAGGGATGGTTTGATTTCGAAAATAGCTAAAATTCATTATAACTTAAGTCTAGTGAATAGGAAGTGACTTTCTATTTGAAAAGTATCAAATTTTTATTTTATGAAAAACAGATACATGTGTACCCTAAAGCAGCAACCTACCTTCCTCTTCCCCCGCTTTCTCTCTCTTCCCCCACTCCCCAAAAGGGAGGTATGCCTATAAAATGCAAGACTGGTTTATATAGCTGGTAATGGGAGATTTATCCATGGTTTTCTGAGAAGCCGCTGAAAAATTCTAAGAGCAAAAGATCAATGACTGTTTAAGGGGTCTATTTTAAATGAGATGCTGGAAGCACTTCAGATTCCACATAGCCCAAACAGAACTCATTATTTCCACCATAAACTAGGCCCTCTTGTTCTGTCTCTGCTGCAGAGGGTGACCCACTGCCCACCCAATCTTTCAGGCCTGAAGCGAGGGTGATCTTTGGCTCTTCCCACCTCCCCACCTAGACTGCCACAGTTGCTGTGTCACTGCAGCCTGTGAATGTTGTCCCACAAGTGATGCTTGAATTTATCTTCTTTTCCATCAAACTCTCACTGCCCTCACTTAATCCTCAGCATCTCTTACCTGGTCTACTGTCACAGCCCATACTGGTCTCTCTGCATCTAATTCTGGTCCCTCTCAAATCCAATTTTTAGGTTACACAAGTGTTCAAATATGCCATTCTAAACATGCCGCTTCTCCACATAAAACTCTTCCAAGGCTTTTCAACACAGACATGATGGCATCAGCCACAGGGTAAAGATCGAGTTCCTTAACAGGACATATATGGCTGTCTATGACCTGACCTCCCCATTCCCATCCCCACACACCATCTGTTTCTCATCTCTGCCCTGTGCTCATGCTGTGCCTCTGCCTACACTGCTCTTCCTCCTATTGATGCTTCATTGTATCTAACTACTCAGGCTCTGAGAATCATCATGTATCACCTCCTCCAGGAAGCCTTCTCTTCTATGCACCCACGGATATACCAAGATCTACAGGTGCCAGATTATATTATAACTGTTTACGTGTCTGTCTTCCCCACTAGATCATGGTTTTCTTGAGACTTGGGATTGTGACTTATTTTTGAATCGCTTGTATCTAGCACATTGCTGGCACATAAAACTTAATACATCTTTCCTGAAGGAATAAATATTGTATTTGAGTCATTTTTATGCCTGTATACCTGGAGCTTGGTAGAACTTGTATACAACAAAGTGTTTGTCACAGTTTTATGTTTTATATCTTCACTCATGTTTTAAAAAAATCTAACATCAACCATTCATTGAAAACCTATTAGAATTGTACTATCTATGCCTTGTATTGAGAGTTATTTATCGCTAAAAGGAGGGGGCAAGCCATGCTTAAGTGAATGAATACGAATGTATTTTAGTGACTCTTCATATCATCATGCATCTACATACAAAAATGAGCGGTATGGACTCTAAAAGATACAGGAATTGAGAGACGTGGTCATTCATATGGGCTATAGCAGGGGGAAGCTTTGTGGAGGAAATGTGGTATGAACATGCAGTTGAGAATAAGGACAGGCATTTCCAAGTGGGAGGCTCCATCATGGGCCAAAGTGTGACATCAAGCAAGTCCAGGAAACACAATAGAGAACACTTGGAGAGAGCACAGACACTGCTAGGTGGGCGGAGTGATGTCACCCTGTGGAGTGCCTTTGCTAACAGGCTTGGGCACTTGGGTTTCATCCTATAGGTGGTGGGACTTTTGTTCAGGAGAGTGAATTACCAGGAAGAAGAGTAATGTAAAGAGTGTAATCTGAAGGCTAAAGGGAGAGAACCAGGATGTTTTGGAGCTTTTGCAACACTCTAAGTGATCTTTATATGGCTTTCATCTAGGCTGGAGGCTGAGGGAATGGACACGAGGTGCTACATATCACAGACACTACAAAGGGAGATTCTCTGGGGCCTGGTAACCAACCTGCCTGTTAGAGACAAAAGAGCAGATAAAGCAATCACAAAGAAGAGTCAAGATGGCTGATGTGTATGTGTGTATGTAGTCATTCACAGAAGTAACACAGTTGTGATCTCTGTCATTGGCATTCTACACCCATCCCTGGACCAACCCACGGTGAGATCCAGGGTGCAAAGCCCCTGACTTCTCTGTTAGAGTATGAGGATGAAGCCATGTTTGTCTCTGTCTCTCTCACCCAGGACATGGTGTCTGTGACGTGGTACATGCTCACTAATCTTGTTTCACCTTGTATCTCACTTTCTCAGTCTCCTTGGCTGGTTCTGCCTCAGCTCTCAGCCCTTCAACATTGGAAGACTCCAGGGCTCAGTCTTTGGTCCTCTTCTCTTTTCCAGCTATTTGCATTTCCTTGGTGATCTCACCCAGTCTCATGATTTCAAATACCATC